CACAACCAAATTCTTAAAATCTACTTTAGGAAAGTTGGTAACATAGCTTTTAAAAAATAATTAAAATAAATAATTTCACAAGTAGAATAATATTTATCTTAACCTTGAATTTAACATAATTTAAGAAAAGCTTGAACTTACACATAATATTTGATGGTTCATGTATGATTAAGCTTATTCGTTTAACAACAGCTAAAATTATGCTGTTACCAACTTCTTTACTTTCACAATCTATTTTTGACAGTGTGGGTTTATATATTTCAATCTCTGGCAATCCACTATTTTATATTTCTGTTTTAAACTTATATTTGTCTGAATCAAATATCTTTAATTCCTTTCTCAATTTGTTTCTAAATGCTTTATGCATCTGTAGCTAGTTTAACATGTAACAAGATAGTGGTGCATCTAGCAAATTCAGTATGAACTAGCAAAATGAGCTTCAAAACCAAAAAATACTGGGTTATTAATAGCGTATTTTTATAGAAGCAAACTTGACGAACCAAAACTAATGAGTACTAAAAGCAACTGGTTAATTTTATTGTATTCAGTCTTTCCTCATCTCTTACCCTCATAGTTAAAATCGTAAAAGGCTTTTCAGATTGTAATAATGAAAAACACACCTACACAGTTGGCTCGATTGATACTCAGCCCGTACCTCCTACATAGCAAACATACATTTGAAAAAAGAGAGTAACTTATGATGATTAAAAAGTCAACTTATCCTTTAACTGCAAGTTGATACTTTCTCTCGCCATGAAGACTTTTTATAGTATCCTAAAAGAACCACAGCTAAAAAAAACACCCAAAACTTGCATTTTTCATACTACAAGCAGGTTCCACCAGCTCCCAGAATAATGTCGTCTCTGAAACGTTCCCGCACTCCAGCAGACCATTTCTAGAAGCTTGGCCTATGGGGTATCCACTAAACACCAACAGAAAAACTCCTCCTGTAGTGCTGTAACATCATCACCAACGTGTAACATCTTTTGGAGCTGCTGTTTCGGGCCTGATCACACAGATATCACCATGGGAAAAGTTTTTTCTTTATATAAAAATGAAAGAAGCGTCATTATACACGGCTTCACTTTTCACGCACATTGGAAATTACTGCATCCAAGTATTTTATGCAAGAAATCATGGAAGTTAATTCAGTAACATATTCTTATAAGGAATAAACATTTCGTAACACGAAGGGAAAGGAGATTAAAAACTTACTGTAAATTAGTGCACACTACGTAAAATTGTGGGTTAAATTCAGTCAAGCATTGGAAAGAGTGGATTCCAGTCTCATTTGGTATTCATCCAACTAACTCATCACATTTTACCAGCTGTCCTTTATAAGGTATCACTAATGCTCGTGCGGGCCTCAGAGACTCGGATTGCATGGAAAATTATACAACTGTCATCCCAGCTCTGCCCAATGGGGGATTCAGCGTTGCTTTGCAAAAACGACAGCTAGATCCCACTTATTTTCTGTGTTACTGCAATAACAAAAGTGAAAACAATCTGAAGAAAAATAGTTTTAAAGAAAATTCAAGACGACACATATTTGTATTTTTTCATATAAAGTATTTCCATAGATTCCAGGGAAGTTCTTTTTATGAGCATTTAAATGGTAGCTTTTCATTACAATATAATCACTTTAATGCAGGAAATCCCTTAGGCATAACTGAGAGCTGGGATCCACACGGCATCTATAGTTAGAAAAGCCATCAAAGAAAAATTAAAGAGACTGAAGCCTTGTAATCCACAATAACATCATGAATTCATTCGGCATGCAAATATCATTCTACTCAACATTCAGCAGACTTAAAGCTCCACACTGATTAATGCATGAGTTCAGAAAACACTTGTAAGCGTATCTTCACACCAGTATAAATAGCATTTGAGTTATGCGTAAAACGTCTTACCTTGAGAAGTTCGAGGCCTTTAAAGCAGAGCTTCAAAAAGGCACCTTTAGTATAAGTGATTGATTCTGCCAGTATAGGCAGTACATCAAATATTAACACAGGAAATTAATTGCTGAGTAAACTCTGAGCTAATTGCTACTTCTTATTTTCTAAATATTAAGTCAGTAAATTCGGATTAGACCACATTTTACCAAATTATAATGTGCCTGCTTCCAGGATACATTTTTTTTCCTCTCTTCTAGTAACCGCTTAAGCCATATCCCACAAAACAACAAAGACTTTATGAAAATAGATTCTGAAAGAGCTTACAAGCCTGGGAAGAACCAAATTCTACAGTCAAGTCCTCCTTGCTATTTCATTCTTATTCACCCACGACTCTTGCTGAGCAAGCGTTTGTTGGGTTTGTTAAAAGAAGTAGTAGTGCCCCGCAGTAACGCGTATTGTGTTATTCCTCATAAAACTGTGTAAATGTGCGGCACTCCAAACTTTAAAAAAATAGCGGAAGTTCAGTTAACTGTGCTTCACCAAGAAAGAGGCTCGTTGGATAAGTGATTTTCAGGCATAGTGGCAAATTAGGGGATTTCCTAAAGATATTTCATGGGCAATTCATGGTTTGCTGCAAATACCAAAAGATAAAACTCTACGGGAGCCTCCACTAAATATCTCAATACTTTATTTGTAAGTCTGTCTACTTAACATTAAAATTCCATTTCCATATGAAAAACTACTACGTTTCTTTCCTCTAAGAAAAGTCGTATCTTCAAGAATAGCTTCTTCACTGTATTTTAACTTTCTTTGCTGTGCTTGGATACAAGAAAAGAAATGGCTAGGGACTCACAACTAAACCTATGCTTACATTTGACATAAGCTTTTAAAGTTTTTATATTGAATTCTTACGGATACTTTCTCTCAAATGAGAATTTCTAAGTCTGACATGACATATTTCAGAGAGATTCCCTCCTAAAATGATTTTTCCAAGCAAAACAATTAAAAATAAGATGAAAATTTAGTGTGACTGGGAATCCCTATTCTGTGGCCTAATTTAAAATTAAAAGCCAGCAGAGTCTTCATGATTCCAAGGCTATGCTGATTGCCATTTGAAGCTGGAAACGTTTTCCCTTATGCACAAGTGATGAAGTGCACGTAAGGCTTAGAGGAAAGTTACCTTATCTAAAGTATCAGATATAGATTACTGCTGGAGTCAGCGTGCCATGCCAGTTGGACCCATACACTCTGTTCCGATATGAGGAATTAAGTTTCCCTGATGTCACAAACGGAACAGATAATGCAATTAACGTTTCCTTTGAAGTTCACATTGACCGGCTAACCGCTAGAATGAGTTGGCAAAACTTTGTTGAAGTCACTGAAGCAATCTCAGTTCACCCAGACTGAGACTTCATCTTTGAGATTCTATAAACCACTGAGGGATATTTAAGATGCTGAATCCTCAATGGGGATATTTATAAATCAGTGTTTATTCTGTCATGTAAATATAGAGATCCCGCACTTCTGTCTGGAATTCCCCAGATGTGCCAGGAATATGTCAGAACTGCTGCCTATTTGCTGGAGAGTTGATTTTCTCCTGTTCAACAGCTATTAGGCCACTCTCTGAAAGACTGATGGGCATCTAGATATCCCAGATGAGTCGTAGGGTCTCATTTTCCTACCTCAGCACTCCTGCTGGGAGCAATCTCCAGGCAGGAAAAGAGGTCCTGTCTGAAGGATCAGATAGTTGGTCAAGACTAGAAAACGGGACAGATCTGCTATAAAATGTTCCATTTGCCACTAATTACTCTAGGATACAAGATTGCACACGAACGCTAGCACTAGTGGAGTTTGCTGCTTGTTTTAAGACAGAATTAGCTTAATAATCCTGTGCTGAAACAGTACTGTTCACACTTTTATAGTTTATAATGTTTGAAAAACACTGAGCCTGTATATGATCAACTGTAAGACCATGAAGAATTTACTTTAAGACTAGGCATTGATAGCTGCTCCTTTGGGACTCTTCAACTAATGCAATTTATAATATCACACTATGTCATGCTACAGTTGACATGTTTATGCTTACGCCAATAATTCAACACTTTCAAGCATTTAAATAGACGAGGTAACTAAACGATTAATTTAAAAAAGGAGAGAATGGAATAAAGCCAACACTTCTATCTTCTTGAAAAAGAAAACAACTTAAAATGAACATCTTGGCTACTTTACAAGACAAGATAAATGTTACAGACTCAAAGACTGTATAATTTCCAAAAGTGTTAATATTCCTTGGAGATGAAAATAGTGATAAAAATAGAATTCTTAGAATTATATTGAATTGTACTTGCACTAAAAGAGAAAGAATTGGTGAACAGGGAAATCACATGAGGAGAAGGAAACATCCCACCATTGTCAATGTTTTATGGGGAGATATTTGGGATGAATGTTGAAAGCTAGACTAATGACTGATAATCAGGTAAAGAACTCCAAAAACACTTAGAAGAACAGACCTTGAAAAGTTACGATTGGTATTATTAAATATAAGAAAGTAAGGAGTTTAATGAGACATACAAAAGAAGTCCAACTAATAAAAATATTGCTACGGTCATATATCGATAATTTAAACAAAACTATCTATGGTAATAAAGTCAAAATTAGTAACCACAAAATATATTACATATTGATCTACAAAGTAAAATAATGTGTATCTCAAAAGGTCATTTCATATTCTCGAGGTCTCTAAACACCTAGAAGTTCTTCTGAAGCAACTAGTGTGCACTTTCTTACCCCCAAGAGCATAAATATTCAAGACTCTTTACAATGCCATAAAGCAGGTGCTGATTTTTTGTCTGCCTTTCAAGGAAGAATTAATACATTTAGCTATTTGAATAAATTGCACCTCTTTTATTCTCATGCTAGCTTTAGCTATAGGCAGACTGTTTTTACCTTCTTTCTCTGAAGACTCTTCTTTTGGTTTATGATTTTTGGGAATAATGGCAGCGCCATGAGAATCGTGTTCCGGTTTGAAACAAAACCTCTTTCTTTCACTGCCTGGAGAGCACTTAGGCAAAGTCCGCTGACGCAACTGAAGGGAAACACACTTACCTTCTGTTGGTGATGTCTTCAGATGTCTGCAGAGCCCCTCTGTTTCCCCGTATGTTTCTTTAATTTTTACTACTGCTTCTGTTCCTCGAAGTTCCATGAGGGAGCGCAGTTCTTGCAGTGTGCACCCAAACTCTCCTGCATGGTTGGCCTCATTTCTTTGGTTCTTGGAATAAAAATCGCTATTTGTCATGTCACCCATTGTTGCTGGATTATATTGCTCCACTCGTTATTGTTGATACAATCTTAAAACTGTTTAAAAACTGAAGGAAAGGAATCTTGAATTCCAAGCTAAGAAATTAAAAAGAATCCAGTGTGTGTCCGGTGAGCGACGTGGAGAATGCCTCTGGCGTGCAAGGTGTCCCTGACTGACTAGTGGTCCGCAGAACGGCTGCTTTCAGGGCTGCAGACCAGCTCCGCTCCATTCACCATTTCCCATTATGCTGCACCCAAGCTGTAGAATCTACATGGTCATTTCTTCCTCTGGACCTTTGGGAGCAAACAGAAAGGACTCATTACCAGAGTGAGCAGTAACGCTTTACACAGGCGATTTCAAACTTATTCTACCGTTGCAGTTTAACATGTCGTTTAAGAAAAGCTATGCAGAAACGCTGTACAGACGTCCTGCAAAATGCTGCAGGTAGTTGGAGCTCGCATCGGCAACAAGGATAACACCAGCTCCCTCTTAGATAAAGCTCTCTACAGCTGAAGCACCGATAGCAGTGTTGCTTACTTAAACCAATTCCCAAGAGCACCCGCTAAATGAGATGACTCATGAATATTAATAAGTAAGCGATTCGTCCAGCATGCTAGATGCAGCTCCAGGATGGGCTCTGGTTCATACAGCCACATCGATCTTTCACCTGACAAGAACAAAGACTTTCTCATAAAGGCCTCAAGGCAACAAAAATTAGTTAAACGCTACTAGTTTTCACAATGGGTTAAAGCAAAACTGTTCTTCAGTGCAAGGACAGTAAAACTGGTGGAAAAACTAGAGCCACCATTACCAATTCAGAATACATTTAAATACATTACATCTTGCAGACTTGCCTTCTGTGAAAGCAAGCGTACCCCAGAAAAGAGCTAACACGCCTGAGCCTCTTGGCTGGCACAGCAGAGCCATGTCTTGTACACGGCAGCCACTGGGTGGCTTTCCTTCAGCAATGCCAGGGCGCCCACTCGCCAGCAGCCTGCCCAGCCTCACCCTGACAGCTGTAAACGTGCCAGCACGGAGCCAACACACGCAGACACACAAATACACACGCGCACAGGGTGGCGTTGGGTTTTTTCTTATCTTCCTTTTTTTTTTTCTTTTTTATTCTTTTTTTACCATGTGCAGTGTTGAACGAGTCACATTTGGACCATCTGGGAGACAGTTGATTACTTGCTAAAACCAGCCTTTAAAACCTGTTTCCCCTTCCCATATTCTAATGAAGTTGGTTTAAATACTGCTGAAACCAGCTATTATATTTGGCACAGAGAGTTTTAACAGAGATTAAAGGTTTCTTTTTTGCCTCAAGCGGGTTACTGCGTGTGCACTGTCTAATCTATAGGTCTCAGAATAGCTTTCTCATAATAAAAAGATCTTTAAAAGAGCACACCCTCAGCCTAACGACTGACAAACCTGTCGCGTCGAAGTGCATATTTTGAACTGTCCAGGTACAGCAACACACAGTAGAAACGAGTACGTACATAAAGAGGATCCCAAAGTGCTTCAAGCCTCAATTTCATATTTGTGCAACAATTTCAACCTCCTGCCCACATACAGTTAACGTAACACGTAGGCTTGGTATTTCCACCGATGTGGCTGCATCGCCATTGCCATTGCTCTGCACGTGAGGAAGCTCAGGCCCGCTGTATGTATTAATTCCTCTTCACCTGCAGTGACATTAACTGCTTCAGAGCTGTCTAACATACCTTGCTCAATTAGACAAACTGAACCTCTACCAGCCCTCTCATTTACAGATCAAAACCCAATACTCCTTTGACTTCCGTGGAAGTGGGAAAAAAAAAAAAAAGAAAAAAAGAATAAGGAAATACTACCAAAGTTTTGCTACAATATCACAGAATGCAACTCAAATAGCAGTCAACTGTCACATACTGCTTGTCCCCATCCTATTTATTGACACGTATTCTAGTGCTCAGAACTTCTGCCAACCTTGATTTCACATATTGCTTTTCAAGTTCATGAGAAGAGAATTTCAGCACAAACCGCGGCTTACAGTGAGCAATAAAGACAAACTAGAAGTAGTAATTAAAAAGGGCCTTTATCTGCCAAGCAATAGTCAAGGAGGAGATATGCTGCTCTGTCAACATTCAGCTTCCCATGCTTACGTGCCGGATAGCATTCACAGTATCAATTCATTTCTAGGTAATTCCCTACATGTAGCATGCAGAAAAGACCTTACTCACTGCTTTATCTGTTTTTAAACAGCATGGATCAGTATTCTGAATAGAAATAACATCAGCCTGTAGCATTACTATGAAAAAAATTGCAGGACAATTACTATGAAAAAGTTGCAATGGCACAGATGTCCAGTAAAACAGACATCATCCCAAGAGGCACTGAGTCACCACAACCTCCCAGGATGATACGCCCCCCCTCTTCCCTAAAATCAGCATTTCAGACTCTTCCTGGTTTCATCTATGATAAGTCGCTGCTAACAGTCACATCAAAAAGCAGACTCGGATTTGATCAGGAAAAAGAATATCCAGAAAAATGTCGTGGAAAAAATAAGGCATCAATAATACTAATGATCAGCTAAAATGACGGACTGCTATTTACTTCCAGTGGGCAAAAAAGAATTCATTCCTAAGGTAAATACACTACAAGATCTTGAACACTGGGTATCTAAAAGAGCCATGATGTTCAAAACAAACAAAAAAAAAACCAAACACAAAACAAAAAATCACCAAACAAAAAAATCCACCATTTACCTAACAGAGAATTTACAGGGCTTTGCTGGTCCTGGGGGCTTTTTAAACATCTCTCTAATAAAATAAAATTGAATTAAGAAAACTATTGCATAACACCACAGTGAAAAGTCAATTATTAGTATTTTCTGAGGAGAGCCATCTACTGATTTCATTAGTGATGCAAAGGGTACTAAACTCAAAGATATTTTCTATGTGATTTTTCTCTGGGATGCTCCCACCACTCTCAATCAAAGCATCTCTTCTGACTCACTGTGCCATCACCAGATATTAATATATTTGCTTCTATTCTTAGAAATTCATTGTCATTTGTCAGCCTCAGCAAGACAGTGTTGTTGCTTTTTAGCATGTTTGAGTCATTTGCCTGCTTTAGTTTTAAATTCACCTTCAATTAAACACTCATCAATAAACAACAAATATGAAGTTCACAGTTCCTTCAGTGCTTTAAAAACATATCTCCTGGAGTTTGTGCTTTCCGTGATTCACCACCTCATGTTATGACACAGGGAAACACCGTCTCACGTTTTTGAAAGGCAGATGGTAAAACATAGAAAGCCCAAAGCATGACTAACGTGATTCACTGCTAATGCATCTCACTAATCCCATGGAACCAGACATGCAGGCTCTATTCGATCCTCGAATGTCTTTGATGAAGGCCCAGGAACCTTGCCAGAGAGCATACCAGGTCAGCATGACTGACACATGACCACCGCACTCTTCCAAAGCGGTTAACATTCCTTTAACGAAAGCTGAGGAATAGAAAACTTCAGACTGGCATATGGCAATGTTCCCTCATTGGTGGGGCTACAGGCTCTGCGTCTCCAAAACAGACCAAATTACTAGAAGTGGGTGAAATTTGGAGTCTCCTTTACAAGAAACCCAAGTACTGCACTATGTTTGGGTGGGGTTTTTTTGTTTGCTGTTTTTTGGGGGGAGCAGGTTAGGGAAGGGATAATTTTACAAAACACACTCAAAACCTTGACATTTTCACCATGTGGATGTAGTACAGGTGAACTACCAAGACACTCTGATTTTAAAAAAGCAGGTGATACCTGTACATTTTCAATCACAGTGAACGACTGGCATTACTCGGGAACACTACCACTGAAAAACTCTCACCGATTCGATTCAGATCAACCTTGATCTACTACACAGCTCTTCTTCTGCATCATAGGTGTTGCAGATCCAGACACCCTCTGAAGAAAAACAGGCACTTCTGAACTGAGACTGATCTCTAACATGGACATCTAAATTAGGTGAACAGAAATTCATGCCAGGGGTGCCTGCTTCCACTGGCTATAAGGCAAGTCCACTTGACAAAAAGCTATCCAATGGCATTTGAAACTAACCCCACTGCTATGGGCTAAGCTACCTGGGGCATAACATCTCCAACAGCCAAAGGGAACAAGGTTGGGCAAGCCACAAGTTTCACCAGCAGAAGGTACATTGCACCGGGGGTGGGAAATAGCCAAGGAGCTCAAGGACTTCTCCCTTTCTTTTCAGAGGAGCCCTGAGTGCCCCTCAGGACCTCCAGAAAAAATTTCTCAACCCTTTTAACCCAAGGTCCACTCAATCTCTTTCAATCCAAAAACCATCATCTACAGTGTGCTTCAATGGTTGTAATTTATAACTAAATGCTTCCCAGGCCACAAAGAGCCACCATCCCCAAATCCTGAGAGCACAGCTTTAGATACCATTCTAGAACACAATAATTTCATCCTCAGTTACGCATACTTGGTCTCATCATTCCCTATGAGAAAAATTTCTAGGGAAACTAGTCCTCCATACACATGTTCATCAAAAGAGAAATAAAAATCTGCAGTAACTGAAAAACTAATTTCACACACAACACTACACTGTTCTTGCAGACAAAAGCAGTAGCTTTTAATGAAAGTTATTTCTTTTTATTTATTCTTACCAAGCTTCTGAAACAAGCTTTAGAAACAAGAAATCTGGGTAAAACACTTCCTATAGTGCAGTCGGAAAACAACAGTATGCTGTGGACAAAAAGACAAAAGAGTGGCCCACTTAGATTCGCTTCAGGTGGCAAAAGACTTCAAATATTAGACAAAACAAGTAAAATACTATCCTTATTTTTCTCATTAAAAAAATCAGAAAAAAAAAATCACCTTGGTCTGGGATTTTGTTTGTCAAAGATAACATGGATTTTTGTTGTACAAATGCACTACAAACTCCAATTATTTATTGATTGTTTTTTTCCTTCCAGATTGGCTGTGTCTTCGGGAACAAGCTTCCATTCCTGTAGAG